TCACGTGAGAGTCCGACGGTCGCAGGTGGCGACGTCCGCCGTGTGCCTCACGGTATGGACGCATCATCGATGACGTGAACAGCCTTTGCCGCACTGTCTCCTCCCGCTCACCAGGCCTCGACAGCAAGACAAGGCCAAAATGGCCGGAGGCGGGCTCGGACGCAGTGGCTGACGAGGCTAGGCGGTCTGTCTACGCGTGCCACACACGACCTGGGCCCCACACGATGCCCGGTACTCACAGAATGGCGAGCGGCCTGGATATCTCGTCCGCGAGAGTATCGTGGAAGTCATTAAGAAGGTGTAGAGCACGACTCCAAGTTCCCGAGCCAATCGCCATGACTGGTTTATTTGGTCGACTGGCACATGGGATACATGTGCACTTCGCCCCGTGTGTGGTCGCAATTCCCAGTTATCGGTATGAGGCGGTCTGTGTAACTCCTGACCGAGGCAACAAGTGGTTGCCCTGGAAGTTTTACGCCACCACTGTCGCTTGTCAAACAAGTTTTCAATACCAAATAGGGAGTAGGCGGGTTTGTGGTGCTGTTGTCCGAGGAGTAAGTGGACATTTAGGCCTTCTTCGCCTGCCTTCATGTGTGATCGTCGCCTTGGCTCTCCATCAGAATGGCGTTGAGGAATGGACCGGACTGCTTGGCACGGGTTTTCGCCCAACTCCTGGACGGTCGATTGATGTTTATGCGTTCGCTTCCGTCAGCTGGTTTCTCCGGCGTGATTGCACTCCTGAACTCTAAAGTGGACAACGGTCAGTGTCTCCTAGTAACGGGGTGGGATGAGTGAGTGCACCTAGATGCGTCAACATGAACTGCCGATCAGCGCGCCTTTTAATTATTTGCGGGATATCTAGAAAAACACGAGGAAGGGAGGCATGAATGGGTGATGATGGTAGTGGCGGCGGCGGGGCGAAACGAGCTCAGTTTTATGACCTTCGTTGCTACAAGACTGTTGATTTAAGCAGACTGGTAGGGTTTGCAGTACTAGTCTTTGTGAAGCTCTCAAGGCCTAAAAAGCAATGAGACTAGCGGGTAGGGTGGAACTGTTCGTGCTCCAAAGGAGCAAAAAGTCATTTAATAACGGCTGTGTAGGCTTTATGGTCTATGTAAATTTCAATTGAGGCGATCGCCTCTTATCGCAAATCTAAACTTCAGTTTGCGCTACAGTACTTATTTGATGATGGCGTTTATATTTGGTAGTTCTTATAACAATGATATTTTGGCTAGATCGCAGTTGGTAGCCAGGAATGGGGAGACGGACGACGACCTGATCCCTAATCCTAAACTTAAACCTAACCTCAACCTTAAACTTTACCTGTTAACCGTAACGGCAACCCTAACCGTAATCGAAATCGTAAACGTAACCGTAGCCCTTAGACATAGCCGTAACTGAAAAACCTAACCGTAATACTGAAACCTAATCGTACGCTCAAACCCTAACCGTAACCCGGAAACCTAAGCCTACAGGCATAACCCTAACTCGAAAATCCGAAACCATTAACCGGTACACTAATCCTAACCTCAAACGTAAAACGGAGGCCAAATGGGTCAGATGTGATTATGGAGCCCCACAAAATAGCCTCCGCAAACAAACCCCCCGCCACCTGTAATACGGGCCCTGGCTACCAACTGCGATCTAGCTGATATTTTTTTCATTTTGGTCGACTGGTAGATGTCGCTGGAGACAAAGCTATCTGAACCAACTGCGACAGCCTTATTCTTGTGTTAGATAGGTCAGCTGACACCATAAAACGATGCTCAAGTGGACCTTAAGACGCCAACAGCGACAATAGTCCGACTAGTCAGGTGAATCCCCATAGGATAAGGAAAGGGGAGGGGCAGAGTTGGTATGTACACGGTCGTCACATTTCAAAAGGGGTGATAGGCGTGGACAGACACTAGCAGGGGTGATGCTTACAGACATCTTTGCATCCCCTGTCCACGTACAACACCGTCACCAGCTCGACTGACACCACCTCCATTATCGTTACTACCACCACCTAAACGATATTCGCGTGCAACGGTAGCCCGCCACTCTCCCGACCGTCAGCGGTTTCAAATCAGGGATGACGAGTTATGTTCCCCCCACACCCACCCCGATTTGTCGACGAGAACTTGTCGGATAACCTCCTCTCGGCCAAGGAAGACAGCACAATTGCTTCATATATCGTTGAGTCCAGGTCATCCACCGTTCATTTATAGGTGTCTTGACTGTAAACTTTTAGTGGTTAAGCCGGACTGGGGTCCTTTGTTGGACATTTAAGAGGTGCCACCGTGAAGCCAAAACCCAAAGGCATGTCAAATGTCTCACCATTTAAGCAGTGCACTCTCAAAGAACACGTGAAAGTCGTCTCCCATACCTTTCGAACAGGCCGAATGATAAGTTAGGTCTTCAGGCGCATACGTCAACGGAGCTCGGCGTGTACACGATGAGGTCCTTCTTAGTCTATGGACACGGATAATCGGTTCGACGCTTAAGAAACTTTTAGAATGCCGTACGGAGTACGGGCGAAGTAATCGAAACTGCTTCGTCAAAGCATAGTCGTGAGTGTAGAGGAAATCGTCATAGGCCTAGTTACTCCCGCCCGAAGCCCACTTTTCATGTAACCTAAATCCGATACTTTTGCATCTTTAAGTATGACATCGGACATCGTCGCCCGACAGGTGAAAGCAAGGCTCTAAACTCAGCCTCATCTGACAGCATCGCCATCAGCCTTTCTTCACCTTCCTCCCAGAGCACTATGTCTCACGAATGAGCGTCATTGCTCCTTACCTGTCCCCCTCGACACTGCTTACACTGAAACAAAACGAGGTTGCATATTTATTTATTAGGTCGTATTATGATAATCCGACAACAAGCGTTCGTCTCCGGATTTCTCATTAATTTACGATATTAGTTGTACTTTAATGTAATCAGTAG